ACACGCGCATCAACGAGATCGGTTTACGTTGACGTGCGCGCTCTCGATCGATTGATTAAATTATAATCTGGATCGTATACGCACGCGTCTCGCGTGCCGGATGAGCGAACCGATCGGCGGCCGGAGATGGAGGCGTTAATTAAATCTAATGGCGTTCAGATTTGCGCCCGGTTGTGCGACGCGAGGAGCGTAAGATGGGCATGTTTGTCGGGCATGATGCGCGATGCGCTCTCTATAAGGCGTCGTTCTCGATATTAATGATGGCAACGCATCCCTAGTAATGAACACATTCGCGACCTGTCCCGCCCACGTGCGAGAGAGCCGCAACATGCGTTAGCTGGACGATTCCGCGCCGTAATCTGCGCGGATTGCTCTCGCGAGTATTTGCACGACGAGGCCGATCGCTGACCGAATGAGGGTTCATCATTAAGTCCCGAGAGAATCAGCATCGCTTCGAGTTTGAGCCATGAGTTATTGACAAATATCTTGAGCAGTGCGAGCGATGGTGTAACGAGAAAGAAATAAAACGCAACTTTTGTTTATATTTATTTTATTTTATTTTATTTTTTTATTTATTTTATTTATTTTATTATTTTAATATTTATTTATATGTTTCATTATTTGTTGGGCAAATATAAATGTATGATAAAATATAGAAATATGCTGGGAATATTTTTGATGATATAATTGGAAAAAACTGAAATCTAAATTTTTGAAAAAACCGTAATCATAATTAGATAACCGTATTTGTAATTAAATAACTGAAAAAAGTGATTCCTTTTACAAGAACATGCAATGAAAAATGGGGGTTTCCATTTAAAAGAATGGAAATGATCTTGAAATCTTCGAAGCGCCTCTACCCACAGAAAAATTATTACTAGCATATTATGGACCTCTTGATACCGTACAACTTTCGTAATTACAATATTTTTCTATCGCCAAAAGCAGCCAAGTTATTCATGTGGCTTGTTTTAGATGCCTCACCCTGTATAATCAATTCAAATTTTTCGGTGGGTAAAAAATTCTATTTATTTATATAAGAAGTGTTTAAAAAATCTTTTTTTCTAGATTCTTAAATCCTTTTTATAATCTTCCTATAATTTTCCTATGTTTTTATGCTATCTTAAAAACTTCAAATTTTATTGTATTTCTAATGATACCATGATCCAATAATGCCAAATTAAGAAGAAAGAAAAAAAGATGTGAGTCTGCCAAATAATCTACACGCGTTTAGCTTTTTGATATTTTTTTTTACTTCTTATAACATTTTATTAGATATTATACCGCATATTTATTTACCGATTAGGTAAGTATATGTATATCGAGTGTGCAAATAAATTTAATTTCTTATTATAAAGAGATGCAGAAGTTGTTTAATATATCACTCTTTCATTATTATTTTTTTCCTTCTATTAAAACTTGTCATAATCCGATGAATACAAGTACATAATTTTAGATGTCTCCAAATCATAAGATCGATTTTTGTTGCAATTATAAAATTGCAAATTATCTTTCCTATCGAGCAAATCTCAAACTTTATCTGATGCTAAAAATCAAGATAACTGACTGTATAAAACATTATAGATAAAATATAAATCATTTTATCTCTGTCACTCTCAATTTTGTTTTGCTTTCGTCCGAACGAGCCTCCCACAAGTTTTATGGGAAAATTTCTGAAAAAAGTAATTACACGCGCTATGTTATAAGATAACAGCTTATCCTAAGCAAGATCTTAGAATCACAAAAGATGCTGTACTCTGAAATTATTCATCTACCCATTTGGCGATTAATCTATGAATTATATGCGAATCGTATGTTTCTTCTCGATGTCTACCAAAACAACGTAAGATGAATCATTGCGGGAGATATCGCTTGCCATAAGGCGTTCAAGTTCATTAAGTATCATTCAAGAACGAGCCGATTATGCGCGCGCTCGGTAGGTGTGTGCAATTCCTTCTTAGAGACTTGCAATCCTGTCGATTCATGCGCAGTAGTTCGAGATTACGCTCGCAACATTTTGTTGTTTACATCCAAAATTTACGAGTTTCAATCCTTGAAATAAAACTCGAACGGAGATCTTGATTTTTAGTAGGATAAAATAAATATACTAAAACCAAAAAAGTTTTTCTTTAAAAAAATTATTTACTTAAATACTTGCAAGGAAATTAGTTATTTCGATCAAGCAGCAAATATATTTGGATTGGTAGAGTATAAAATAAAATCAAAGTATGCTTTTATTTGTAAACAAAAAAAAAATTTTTTCTTTAACTTTATTATACTAAACTATTTACTCTAAAAAATAATTTGTAATTTTTGGCTACTTGTTTCAAAAACATAGGTTTTCTATATTCTATTAAATTAATAATTTTTTATCTTTGAATAAATATTTTTTTTATGTTAAAGTTTTAAATAATGTATTTCAAAAATTAGAACTTTTACTACATGAAACTAATAATTTATTTAATATAACAAAACATTTTTGGAAACAAAGTATATATTTATTTAAGTAAAAAAAAAATCAAAATTAACAAAATGTATCTATTTGATTAGAAAAAATTTTATTTTTAGTGTAATAAAACATCGCCATAATAAGAACGTACGGCGCTAATCAAGAAATAAAGAAAATTCAAAATAAACTTCAAGAAAATCCTCATCTGTATTTAATTCGCTATACAAGCTAAGATTTTTAATTATTTTAAACGGTTCTTAAACGCCACATAGTCGTACTTAATGTTATTTATTGGAAAATGCAAAGATGATTACAGAACTTCTGCAATTATATAAGCCATTTAAGATTACTTAAGAAATGACTCATCGCTATCGCTCCTTGTATATTCAAAGCACATCCTCGCATCCTCTCGTGCAAAATATATATTTAATTTTTTATTTTATTACTTACTCCAAAATAAAAAAAAAACTCGAAACATATTTTTAAAATATTATTTAACATTTTATATTTTTATAAGTCTCTTATATTAATATATTTATAAAATATAGGAAAATTATGAAAAATTATGCGGTCTTTTACAAAATATTTTTTGCTTTTGTAATACTGATTATTTCTGGCACGGAGGGAAACAAATACAGACACCAAAAATTGCATGTGTTCAATGCTAAAAAAGATATAATTTTGAAGAGATTTCAATAATCGAACAGTACACAAATTTTTTTAAACTCAAAATTTTCTTGGATTTCTACGTATAGATCAACAAAAAATTTATTATAAGAAATTTGTTCGTTGATAATTGAAAATAACTGAAATAATTTGTACAAAAAAGAGATGTGCATTTTAACATAGTTATCTTCAGTTAATAACTCAGTGTTACTCACTGAAGGTTCATAATTCACATAGTTATATTATTGAACGTTATGTTTTATCTCATGTCAATAATTTGATATGTCAATGACTTACTTCTAAATAATGTGATGTTACATAGATTACAAATTTATAAAAATCGTATTTCTGACAAAAATCTTGAATATTAAATTATTTATATTTTTATTATATATTACATACTATTTATATTTATATTTTTATTTATATTATTACTTATATTTATCTATGTTATAGGTATATCGTTTTACTTATTTATGTTTATATTAAATTATTACTTTAATATTTTAGTCTTATAATATAGCTGTATCTCGCCGGTACTTCTTATCATGACTTGATAAAATAGCGATACCCGTTCATCTTATCAAATAAGTAAAATTGATAACATATCTACATATATCTATATAAGGTAATAATTAATAAATTATTGAGTGTTACGCAATATGTAAAACTATACTTTTATAAATAATTTATGGATAAATATCGTAAAATATTAAAACTATTTGTATTGCTTGCTTTTTTAAAAATTATCAAGATTAAGAAGATTAAGCTTTTTATTTTATATAGATATTATTTGCCTATTCCTCATATATTATTTTAAATTGTACTTTGGATTCGGCGACTTTTAATTCTATGCTTTTTCATATAAAAAATAATAAATATATTACATTTAAATTAAGAAGTAAAATAAATAAAGAAGTAAAAACGAGATACAAGATATATTTAAATTTAAGAATTGAAAAAAAATATATTGCTTATAAATATTGCAATAAAATAATATATAATTTTATTATCCACTTGTTTCAATCTTTACTTTTTAAATAAATAATTGCACGACATATATATTCGACAAATAATCATTGTCTCGATATGTTTATTATGAGAGTTAAATAATTATTAATTAAATGCGAATTATTCATATATGATCGCATTTTCTTACGATATTTTACGATTGCGTTTTCTGGAATA